GCCTACACTCTCCTCAGGAGCGGCCGCCCCTTCGGGGGACGCCGCCTCAGCCGACCCAAGGAGCCCTCGCCCGGCCGCGGGACCCTGGGGAAGCCAGGCCGCAGCCCGGGGGACCGGGCCACTCACCTTCTCCGCTTGGAGTCCCGGCTCCGCCGCCCCACGCCAAGAGTTCGAAGAGCGTCCGACGAGCGTCCGCAGCTCACGGCAGCAGCTCTTCGAATGCGCCTGGAGGCGCTTGAGTTCCCAGAAACCCCCGGGGCTCACACACACCCCCTGCAGCCGCAGAGAACGTTCTGGAAGCTTCTGCACAGGAGCACGGGAGGGGCTCGGGAGCAGCGGCGGGTACGGCCGCGATCTCGCGAGGGTTGCACCTGCGCACTGAGCGCTTGACCCAAGGTGCCACGCCCACGGGTACATTCAGCACCCCCAGCACGCCCCCCTCGATAAACGGCCTATCAGGGGCTGAGCAGCTCTGCCCTTAGTGCAGCTACTTGTGAGGTTGAAGCAGGAAGAGGCGGGGAAACCACTAGTTCGAGCCCAGTCAGGGCTACCTAAGGGTATAGCAAGACCCTGTCTGAAAATGAAAAAAAAAATTTAAGTGGCGCGGGGACGTACATTAGCGCAAAGGCCCTGAGCTCAGTCCCCATTGCCGGAATTTAAAAAAGAAAAGAAAGAAAAAACTGCAAGGCAAATATGGTGGTGCACCCAAAATAAAAAATAAAAAGGGAGGGTGGAGCTCAGTGAGAAGGCTCTGGGTTAAATGCCCAGTACGGCAAAAAAAAAAAAAAAAAAAAAATTGATTAATTAATTAATTTTAAATTTAAAAGCCCTATAAGCAAGACAATGGGATTGGGAGAGTAAATGAATCCTTTTACAATATTCTAGAAATTTTTATTTCATGTATCTTGAAGCTCTGTGCTTGAGTATAAACACATTTATGAATTTTATGATTTTCTGGTTAATTATCCCTCATCATTAGTTTTGATCCCTGGTGCTGCTCTTTGTCTTTACTTTTCTGCTATTAATCCCATTTTCCTCTACTTACCTTTTCATGGTGGGTCTTTGTGCAGACTACTACTACCAACCAATGTGAGCCTTTTCTATTTCAACTCAATCACTTGGAAACGGCACGGAGAAATGTCTGCTCGGTTCCTTTCCCGGAGTCTTCTCTGTGCGTGTCTTGGTTTTTCATGCATTCTGATAGTCACCTCTTTATAACTGTAGTGTTTAACCTAGTATAATTTAATTTTACGTGGTTGGATGTGGGTTTATCCTTTTACTGTCTCCTCTAGTTTTGTTTCTTTGCTCCCTTTCTGTGCCTGTGTTAACAAACTTTTTTATAATTCCATTTTAATTTATCTATTGCTTTTTTAACAATGTCATTTTGCATTATTATAGTTGCTCCAGATATAAAACATATCGTTTTTCACTGTCTACTTATAATTCATATTGTGCCACATCACATAAATGTACAAACCTTTCCATCATATAGGTTTATTCCCACTACACTCCATCTATTATGCTATAGTCGCCATATGTTGTATACTCACATGTGTTGTGAATACCACGATATACTATTATCATTTTTACTTTAAACTGTCACATGTATTATAAAGAAATTTAAAGCAATAAATGTCCTTTAATATTTACCCACATATTTACCATTTCTGGTGATCTCCATTTCTATCCCTTTCTTCAGACTGAAATACTTCCTTTAGCATTTCTCTTAGTGAGTCTGTTGATGAGTTCTTTTAGTTCCATATATCTCAAAATGTCCTCATTTCACCCCGCTTCTTGAAGGATGTCTTCCCCGGATGTAGACACAGAGTTCTGGGCTGAGATTTTTCCTTCTTCCTCCTCTCCTCCTCTCTCCCTCCTTGTTCTTTCAGCAGTTTACCAGTGTTCCACAGTCTTTTGGCTTCCATTGTTTCTGAGGAAAACTCAGTGGAACTTCGTGTTAGTGTCCCATAGGTGATGCTTCATTTACTCTGCTGCCTTTAGAGATCTCTGCATCGTTTGTCTTCAGTACTTTATAGTGCACCTTCATGTGGTTTTTCTTCCTATTTGTCCCCTTGGGGTTCACTGAGGTTTTTGAATTTGTAAGTTGTGTCTCTCCAAATTTTGGGATTTTACACATTACTTCTATAAGTAGGTTTTCTTCCCTGTTCTCTCTCCTCTCTCCTGGGATTTCACATACCACATTTATTAGACCCTTTTATGTTGTCTCACAGCTCACTGATGTTCTGTTATCTTCATCTTTTGAACAATATTTTGCCTTCTTGGTTTTTCAGAATGGATCATTTCTATTAATCTACCTTTAGGTTTGCAATTCTTCTGTCATCTACAATGTACTATTAAGACTATCCAGTAAAATTTTCACTTTGATATTGAATTTTTATAACTTTTAGAATTTATCAATAATTATTTTCAATAGCTTTTCTTCTTGTCTGAAATATTTCTTGTTTTGACACAGTGTGTCTCATTACATAGTTGAGGCTGGCCTTGAACTCACTATGTACCCCAGCAGGCTGGCCTCAGACTTGTGGCGATCCTCCTGCTTCAGCCTCCCAAGTACTAGAATTAGAGGTGTGTGCCACCACACCTGGCTGAAAGAGTTCTTTTCAAAAGTTTGTTATGACTATGATTTATGTCCTTAAGCATAATTTAAATCATTACAAATTATACTGTCAGGATCACCCACAATCAGTTTGCTTTGAATACTTCTTTTAATATCAAGACATTTTCTGGTAGTAATTTTTTTCTTTCTACCAATTTAGCATTCTATTCTAGTCATTGTCAATAATGAATTCTAGTGGTTCTGAATTTTGGTTTCTGTTATAGTCTCTAAACAGGCATGGCTGTTGTTATTGTTGTTGTTGCTGTTACTGTTGTTGTTTTGTCAGGCAGTTGACCTAGCTAAACTCAGGCTCCAAACTCTGTTTCCGCTGTGCTGAGCATGAAATCTCTGTGCAGTTCTTTTCCCAGCGTCTTCCCTGTGCATGCCTACCTCTGGGGTGAGCCAGAGACTTGGGCAGAGTTCATCTGTCAAATTTGGGGCTCCCTAGCTATTTCCCTCCTTTGCAGGATCCCGGCCCCAGCTCTCCCTCTGCCTGTGCCTGCCCTCAGAAGTCAGGTTCTGGGGTTTGGCCAGCCTGAATGGCAACCTCTGTGGCCTGCCTGGCTTCACATACAGACGAGCAGGAGACTCACCTACTGCTGCCTCCTTCTTCCAAGTATCCATTTCTCCACGATTTCTGCCTCTACTGCTTCGTCCCTCCTGCTGCCCAGGGTCCTGAGTGCAGGGCTGCTATCACTAAGGGAGTTGGTCTGGTGGCATATGGCTGAAGGCACAGCCAGATTTAAATTCTACAAGACCCCTGGGGCCTGGACTTTCATCAGAGCTCTCTAGCTGGGCTTTTGCCTCAGGTGTTCTCTCCTCTCAGCCCATCTTCTCATGGCACTTGGCGCAGTTATTGTGTCTACACAGGTGATTTGTATGCACTGGGTGTGGTGGCACCTACCTGTCATCCCAGTCCTGGGCAGGTTGAGGCTGAGGCAAGAGAATCACCCCAAGTTTGAGGCCAGCCTGGCCTCCATAGTGAGTTCCTGGACAGCCTGGATCACATAGTGAGACCCTGTCTCAAAAAACCAAAGGGGAAAGATGGATGCACAGATTTTTGGCACTCCTCTTTTGGAGAGGTGCACCTTAATTTCTGTCTACTCCATTCACCCATAAATCATGAATTTGGGAGAGCCCTCCCGTGAGCAGTTCTGTAGAGAAGCCCATGTGATAAGGAACTAAGCCAGGTGCCACCAGGATCTCCCAGCCCCAGTCAGCTCCTCAGACACTGCAAGCCCACAGGACACTAACTGTCACCTCCTGAGCAAGCCTGAGCCAGAACCTGCAGCTAAGCCACTGGGGATAGCTCATTCCCTAGCAATGAATGACTAAACTATAACCTCCCTTTAATGTCCAGTCTACCCCAAGCCCATCCTTCTAGGAAGCATTATCTTAGTAAATGGCAGTGAAAATCATGCAGGGTGGCATTGTTGGGTGGGGGCTGAGGTCCTGCTATCTATCTCATGGGTAATTGGAGGTCTCTAAACACAACTATGAGCACACTCCAACGCACAGGCAGAGGGAAGGAGGGGGCCAGCAAAGGTCTATGAAGAGCTGCCCTCCTCTTAAGATGTGAACCAAGAGAAGTGGGATTCCTGAGCCCTTGGAGAGGGTATGGATGGCACTGGGAGGTCAGATTGCATCTGCAGAGCCCTGGCTCCGCAAGGCCCTAGTGGCGCACACCACAGAGAGACTGGCTGGGGGAAGCAGAGCAGGCATCCGCAAGAGGGCACTCAGTGTGTGTGGAGCGGGCTGGGGAGCCAGGCTCCGGGCTTTGCAGAGCCACAAGCATCCCCCATGCTGCGCCCTTGTGGCTGTCACCCATGCCTGGACACAGACACTGCAGGGCTCAGGATGCAGCCTCAAGAACCAGAGCTGGGTGCCGGGCGTGGTGGCGCACGCCTGTAATCCCAGCACTCAGGAGGCTGAGGCAGGAGGATAGTTGCGAGTTTGAGGCCATCTTCGGATACAAAGTGAGCTCAAGGCCAGCCTGAACTGCATAACAAGATACTGTCTCGAAAAGATCAAAAAAAAAAAAGAATCAGAGCTGCTTCTGCTCCTTGGGAAATAGGTGGCACTGTCGCTGCTGGGTGAGGCCTGCGGCGGCGGGGGATTCCCTGCTGCTTCCCATCTGGGGCCTCAAATTCATTTAGCAGTGTGTGCATCTGATTAGTGGAGCTCGGTTATTTGTCTACACTCTAGTTGCAAGGGAAGCTGGGAGAGCCAGGATCTGACACTTTGTATTCATCTCAGAAAATGGGCCTCACATCAGGTGAAAGAACTGCATGTGCAAAAGTCCTGGGGCTAGAAGGAACATGGTCAGTGTGGAGTAAACAAGAATAATCGTACTGCAGGAGAGAGATAGAGACAGGAGTCAGAAAGGCCAGATGCCAGACCATGGTGTCCTTGTGGGCCTTGAGCATGAGTTGGTTTTTATTCTTGAGCATGAGTTGGTTTTTACTTATTGAAAAGCTTGAAGTCAGTGACACACAAATGTGTGAGTGGCATGATCACATTTTATTTCAAGAAGCTTTCCTTGCCTCGTTTGTAGAGAAATGATGTGGAGAGAAGAAAGGTGGCCACTAGGGAGCCCTTGGGGTTCTCCCATTAGACATAACTGCAGCCTGGACACAGGAAAAGACAGAGTCATGGGGAAAAGGCAGCTCTAAGAGACATCATGTAGAGAACCAAGCAAGCACCATAAGCGACCACAAGGTGACCCAAGGATTCCTCT